AGATGTTCAACCTTAGTCATAAAAATACAAATTTGAGATAGCATTTTTCACATTTCTATCAAAATGGCAAAGATCCAAATGTTTGCTAACACAGTTAGCAAGGGTATGGTGAAACAGGCACTCCTGTTCATTGCAGATGGAGAGACTTCATTATAGATAACTCTTGAAACTGTGAATTTTGAACCATTTTAAATTATTATCTGGGGAGCCATGGGGGTGCAATGGTTAAGTGCTTGGCTGCTAACTGAAGGGTCGGCGGTTCGAACCCACCAGCTCCTCCAAGGGAGGAAGATGTGGCAGTCTGCTTTTGTAAGAATTTACAGCCTTGGAAACCCTCTGGGACAGTTCTACTCTGTCCTATAGGGTCGCTATGAGTCGGAATTCGACTCGACAACAATGGTTTTTTTGTTTGTTTGTTTGTTTGTTTTAAGCTATAATCTCTTCAACATGCTGAGCAAATGATCCGAGAAGCTGGACTACATGAATAAGAATGGGGCATCATGATTGGAGAAAGACTCATTAACAACCTGCGTTATGCTGATGACACAACCTTGCTTGCTGAAAGTGAAGAGGACTTGAAGCAGTTACTGATGAAGATCAAAGACCACAGCCTTCAGTATTGATTACACCTCAACATAAAAAAAAACAAAAATTATCACAACTGGACCAATAAGCAACATAATGATAAATGGAGAAAAGACTGAAGTTGTCAAGGATTTCATTTTAGTTGGATCTACAATCAGCACCCGTGGAAGCAACAGCCAGGAAATCAAAAGATGCATTGCATTGGGCAAATCTGCTGGAAAAGACCTCTTTAAAGTGTTGAAAAGCAAAGATGTCACCTTGAAGACTAAGGTGTGCCTGACCCAAGCCATGGTGTTTTCAGTTGCATCATATGTACGTGAAAGCTGGACAATGAATAAGGAAGACCAAAGAAGAAATGACGCCTTTGAATTGTGGTGTTGGTGAAGAATATTGAATATACCATGGACGGCCAAAAGAATGAACAAATCTGCCTTGGAAGAAGTACAACCAGAATGCTCCTTAGAAGCAAGGATGGCGAGACTTTGTCTCACAAACTTTGGACATGTTACCAGGAAGGACCAGTCCCTGGAGAAGGACATCATGCTTGGTAAAGTAGAGAGTCAGCGAAAAACAGGAAGACTCTCAACGAGATGGATTGACACAGTGGCTGCAACAATGGGCTCAAGCATAACAACAATTGTGAGGATGGTACAGGACTGGGCAGTGTTTCATTCTGTTGTATGTAGGGTTGCTATGAATCAGAATCAACTTGACGGCACTTAACAACAACAACAGGCAAACCAAGATAGCTGGTCACCGTCTGTACCAAGGCGGAAGTGGAGAGAGAAACACTTAAAGCAAAGACACAGGTACAATTCAGCCATCCAAATGGGGAGGTCAGTGATCCTATAACATGTTTCACTTTGTAGCATCACGAAAAGGAGGCACTGCCACTACTTATGAAAAAAACAGTTGCCGTTGACTTAGTCCCGACTCATGGCAACCCCATGCGTGTCAGAGTAGAACTGTGTACCATCACCTGAAGAGTTTTTAAAACTACTGAGTCCTTAAAATAAAACAGTATATAATATTAGCTGATTGTTTAATAAAATAATCTATTAATGTGTATATATAATGATTCCCAGGCCTCAGCCCCAGAGTTTCTGATTTTATTGGTGTGCTACCTGGTATTGGTATTTTTAAAAGTGCCATAGATGATTCTGATGTGTAGCTAAGGTTGAGAACAACTAAGTGGGGCATAGAGAAACCAATAAAATGCAATACATTAGCCTCAAGAAGCTATGAATCTAGGCTCTACCACTTACTAAGGATGCAACCTTGAGAAAAACAGAGGATACCTACTTTCCTATGCTGATATGAGAGTTAAATGGAACACATTAATGTGGAAATGCTTAGCAGAGGGCTCAGCGTACAGCAGGTGCTCAACAAATATTAGTTGAATTTGGCAAATATTAATCTAGATTGGTTTTGTTCTGTTGTACATAGGGTTGCTATGAGTCGGAACTGACTCAACAGCACCTAATAACAACAACAAAAATCTAGACCAGTAGATGTCAATCTTCAGTGTGTAACGGAATCACCTAGACCAAACCAAACCAAACCAAATCCATTGCTGTCGAGTTTATTCCAACTCATAACAACCCTATAGGACAGAGTAGAACTGCCCCACAGGATTTCCAAGGCTGAAATCTTTTTTTTTCTATTGTGCTTTAGGTGAAAGTTTACAGCTCAAGTTAATTTCTCATTCAAAAATTTATACACATATTGTTTTGTGACATTGGCTGCAATTTCCACAATGTGACAGCATGTTCCCCCATTCCACCCCGGGTTCCGTGTGTCCATTCATCCAGTACCTGTCCCTTCCTGACTTCTCATCTTGCTTTTGGACAGGAGCTGCCCATTTGGTCTCATATATTTGATTGAACTAAGAAGTACGTTCCTCAGGTGTATTAATTTTTTGTTTTATAGGCCTGTCTAATCTTTGTCTAAAAAGTGGGCTTCGGGAATGGTTTCAGTACTGGGTTAATAGAGTGTCTGGGGGCCGTAGTTTCGGGTGTTCCTCCAGACTCTGTCAGACCATTAAGTCTGGTCTTTTTACGTGAATTTGAATTCTGTTCTACATTCTTCTCCTGCTCTGTCTGGGATTCTCTCTTGTGTTCCCTGTCAGGGCAGTCATTGGTAGTAGCTGGGCACCATCTAGTTCTACTGGTCATAGGCTAGTGGAGTCTCAGGTTCATGAGATCCTTTAGTCCTTTGGGCTAGTTATTTTCCTTGTCTTTAGTTTTCTTCATTCTCCTTTGCCCTGGGTGGGATGGGACAAATAGATGTCTCTTAGATGGCCGCTTGAAAGCTTTTAAGACTCCAGATGCTACTCACCAAAGTGAGATGTAGAACATTTTCTTTATAAACTATGTTATGCCAATTGACCTAGATGTCCCCTGAGACTATATGGTCCCTAGGCCCCAGTCCCAGTTACTTCTTCCCTCAAAGTGTTTGGTTGTGTCTAGGAAACTCCTATGCTTTTGTTTTTGTCCAGTTGTGCTGACTTCCCCTGTATTGTGTGTTGTCCTTCACCGAAGTTGACACTTGTCTTCTATCTAGTTAGTGACAAGGCTAAAATCTTTATGGAAGCAGACTGCCACATCTTTCTCCCACAGAGTGGCCGGTGGGTTTGAAGCACCAACCTTTTGGTTACTAGCTGAGTGCTTTAACCACCACACCACCAGGGCTCTGGAATTGCCTAGTGGACTGGTTAAACCATAGATTGCTGGGACCTACCTCCAGAGTTTCTAATTCAATATGTCTAGCGTGGATCTGAAATCTGCATTTCTAACAAGTTCCCAAGTAGTACTGATGCTGTTAGTCCCAGGATCACATTTTGAGAACCAGTGATCTTGACTATAAACTCTACAGGATAATCTACTTGTTTGCTAAAGCATGTTCAATGTCTAATAGTTTCCAGCACAGACTAGATGTGCAATTGATGTTTTTTTCAATTACTGAACCACTCTGTGCCTCAGAATAACTAATACCTACTGTCAACAACATGACAGCAAAGATTTTGTTTTGTTTACTACCGTTTACCAACACCTAGAATGTTTGCTTGGCACACAACAGTGCTCAAAAAGTTATTTATTGAACAAATAGACAGTTGCAAAGAATAAATGAAGTCATGTATATGAAAAAAAGCCTACAAATATTAGCACAATTATTGTTATTCATTATATTGGGTAATAAATAATTACTCAAGAACTGTGGCTCTTGCAACAGACTCGGTGCATTCTGAGAACAGAGCTCTGCACTTAAGAGAAGGTTCTGTATGAAAGTGGTTAACTAACAACCGCTGACCTTTACTGACCTATTACTGTGGTGCCAGGCAATCTACGTAACTTGCCAAATTGAATCAACAAGCTATTAGATGGGCATTGTTGTTATTAGCACCATTTTACAGACGAAGGAAACTGAGGAACAGAAAGATTAATTGCCAAAGCTAGCGAACCGCAGGACCAAAATTCGAACACGCACAGCCTGAAAGCAGCATTAGTACCCTTTGCCACCAGACATTCAGCAAACGTTACGACCAACAAAGGTCATGGGTGAAAACAACCTCAAAGACGGAAATCTGGGGTCAGAGGTCAGGGTTCAGCAGGAAGTTGGTATTCATCAAGAACATAAGATCAGAAGTCACTAACACTTCACAGGCGGATAGAGGGGGCGTCCCGAAGGATAGTACGACCCATCCTTCTCAATCGCATTTTAGCAGGTGGGACCATAAAGTGACCATGACATCTGAAAAAAATAAATAAGCAGAAATGAATAATCCGTAGTCTCTAGGCGGCAGCCATGATGGGAGAGATGAGGGGCGCATGCGCGGCATCCGGGTTCCTGAGCGCGTGCCTAGTGCCGACGTGGCAGAAGGAGCGGCCCAACTCTGCAGCGTGGGGGCGGCACTTCCGGGGACGACGCGACAGCCCACCCCCCCCCACTCTCCTCCTCGGAACCGGAAGTGGAGCCTGGGAGCCTTGACGTTAGGAACGAAGTCGAACCTGGATCTGGAGCCGGGTGAGAAGTGGCATCGGGAGGTTGGTGGGTAGGAAAGCAGAAGAGAGGCGGAGATATCACTGGCCAGATCAGGGTGCCGTCTGAGACAGAAGGGAGGAGTCTGGGGCAGAACCTGGGGAGAGACCCTCATCTCACGCATCCACAATCCAAGCTCAGCCCTAGACCGTCCCTTCGTCTCCGGGCCCAGATTCCGGTTCGCGTTTCCTGCCCCCAGCTTGTTCAAGGGCGCAAGACGCTGGGTCCCCGGGCTTAATGGAGCAGCGCTCTCTCTCATCGTGGCCCGAGAAGCTGGCTTGGCCTCTCGGTCTTGATCTCCGGCACTGCTAGCCTCCACATCCACAGTTCGACTACTTCCAGAGTTCTAGGAAGCCTGCCCCGCCCCCTTAGGTTGTCATTGTCGACTGCTTTCAGGATGGAGTTGAGACGTGAGCTTGACTCTGAAAGCTTGGTGTGTTTGTGGAGAGGGGTAGGTGTTCGTTTGTTGAGAGCCGGTGTCCTGTGTCCTATTCTAGCCTCGACTTTTTTATTTCCTGGAGAAAAAGCTATACCTCCTCCCCTCTCCACTCACTTTAGGGGAGGGGAGCATTTGTCAAGCTTAGTGTCAGTGACCTGTGCGAGGTTCAGAATTTGGAAGAACAGATCCTGCGATGGCTTTGAGTCTAAGGAGGCCTTGTCGAGGAGCAGCTCAGCTTTTGTATGGTCAAGATGGTCCTCCCTAGCAAAGGGGAGAGATCCATTATTCCACTGAAATAGCTGTGAGCTCTCCTGTATCCTGGGCCCCATTCTGTCTATGGTTTCGTTGGAAGTTGTGAGGCTCTTATAGAATAAATGTTATCAGACAGTCCTCTTCTTGGTAGGACCCTAGTAAGGCTCTCTAATCCATTTCTTTGTCTTTGGGAAGACTAATAATTTCAGAGGTGGCTTAAGTACATGAAAAGCATATAAGGAGAGCAGAAACAAGAGAGTTGGAGAAGTGCCCTAGGCAGCATTTCGTCCATTGTGTGCATGTTGCCATGAGTCTGGGCGACTGGATGGCAGCTGACAGCAACAACTCTGAAGGATAAGAAGTATGCTCTTTTTGGTGAGATACAACTTTCCCACTGATTCCATAGGTTATTGTGAAGAAGTTTCTGTGCCTGGCCTGCACTCAGCTCTAATCTGGTATCTTGCCGGAGTGTTCAGATGTCCTTTACATTTAGGGAATTTAATGCTTCAGTTGTAACATTCATACACTCTTTTGATGAGAAAACTAGGAATGGAGTAGCATTTGGATTATTACAGTTTAGCCAAAGAATGTCCTTTCTCTAAAATTTGTCTTTTGAAGGGGAGGGAATTACTCTGGTCTGTTTTAGACTTATAGCCTGGTGTTTAAAAAGACTGACACTCTCTAGGGTACTCAGTGTGGAATGAATGGATGCTAGAGTGAATGAATGGAAAGTAGGAGCATTGTTTCATTTACCTGTAATATCGCAGTAGTTCATCAGCACCAGGACTTGTTGTGTGACTACACACTAGAAATCATACCACTGGGGAAAGGAGGCTGCTGCTCCATTCCAGTGGGGTTATCTGAAGTTGAAATTTATACCCTCTTGGTAGTGACAAAGCGTGGGGTTCAGAGTAACAAAATCTTTGCTCTGAGGAGGTAATCTGGATACTGGCTGGGGCAGAAAATTACTAAGATCCTGTAGTGTGGGAGTGATTCCTGATAAAGTCATTCCCTTTTGTCTCTACTTCCTACCCCCAAATAGTTGCTTTCTTTTTAGAAAGTTGGTTTTGACTGAATTCCTTTCTTCTCTCTCATCTAATAGGTGACACTGAGTTGGGGATGCTCTCATAATGAACGTCAACCAGTCAGCTCCTCCTGTGCCGCCATATGGGCAGCCCCAGCCTGTCTACCCAGGTTATCATCAATCCAGCTATGGTGGGCAACCAGGGTCTGCAGTCCCCCCTACCCCCTATGGAACCTCCTACAATGGCCCGGTACCAGGCTATCAGCAGACACCTCCCCCAGGTGTGTATGTATTTCTAAGTTTCCTTTGAGCTATGGAAGAGCATCAGTAGAGTCTTCAGGTTAGGTCGTATTACTCTAGCTAAACTGCCTGAAGGGGTGTGGTGACTGGGATTGAGGAACATGAATCCGGTTCTCTGTCACTAAGATCCCTGAGGGCAGTCTGCCTTTCCCTGTTTTTATCATAGGAGGACTGTTTCTGGTTCAGACTTAAGACATCTAGTGGAAGCCTATCTTCCTGGTTCAGTGGCAGCTCACTTCTTATGGGTATCACCCTGAGATGCAACCTCACCTGGGTCAGAGCTGGATGAGAGGGTTGTAGTCACAGCTCCTCCAGAGACTGTGGCCAGGATTGAGTATTTCTTATTGTTCTAAAGTCTCCCTGAAATTACTTGTTCATTGTGTATATTGAGAATGCCTGTCAGTGGACAGATGGTTCCATAAATGACTCTGGAGCTAGTTCATGGAGGAAAAGTGTGGTGTACATGTGCCTGATTTTTGATGCTTCTCATATCTTTCTGCTGATAGCATTCCTTTTCCTTTGCTTGAGTTTCCTCTGCTTCTTAGATGTCCTGTCGTATCAGGGCAATAGAAGAAGACTAATGTGTGCTGCCTTAGGGTCAGTGTTTGGCTTTTACTTTACTTCTTCAAGGAAGGGCAGCTGGTACTCTACAAATTATCTGAAGGGGCTTCTTGGAAAACTAGTTCCGACTAGTTCCAGAGGATCTCTAGTTAGGCTAATTGAGGACTTACGGTGCAGCAAACTCTTTACATTTGTATTTTTAAGGGAGTAAATTCTATAAAGGAATATGGGAAAAACAAGATACCAAGGAGGCATAGGTAAGATTTGGGAAATGAATGAAGTATTACTGTTTTAATTAGAACTTTGAAAAAGTTATTCACGAGGTATGAGATTAGGCCTCAGGTCTATAGAAAAGCTTTACCCTGGGTTGGGACTTTGGCTGGTCAGAGTCCACCTCTGCTCTCCCAAGTCCTGGCTTATCACAGTGGAGTTTGGCATTGCCTCAAGAGGCAGCTTTGTTATTGAGAAGAAAACACATCTGGTTCTGTTATGGCCAGTAAGCATGCTCAGATTAATCACGTTCCTGTAGGCACGTTCTGCATTGTCCATTGCTTCAGAGAACTGAGCAAAGTAAAATTGTTTGAAGGTGCAAAAGATGGGATATAGGTCTGATATGAAGAGGCTTTTTCTGATGATGAGATTGGTTAAAACCAAATATATTTTAGGGCAGGCAGAGAACAGAGGTCAGCAGCATTTCAAAAGGATGGTGCCAAGTAACTAATTTTCTTCCTGTATTTCACGTGGGAAGGATGGTTAGGGGTAGCAGAAGTAGCTTGTTGGGCACTCAGATGAGTGGAAAGGATGAGCACAGCTTTTGTGCAAAGGATGGAGTAGAGCTTTTGTGAGGAGACAGGTGGCAGCACTAACACGAGGGTAGGCCAACTGTCCTAACTGAACTCTTGGGCAGAGACAAGGTCTCCAGCCTATGGGAAACACTTTCCTGAGCCATGTGCTATTGGCCTCCTCACTTGGAGGTAGATGAAGAGGATATGATTAGAGTAAGTAGAATGTGTGAAGAAGAAAGTGACAGAATAGTCTCCCCAAGAGATGCCTTTCTTTGCAGCCTAGTTCAGTATATTACTTAATCGTCTTCTGTGCACCTTTCTCATTTGTGCTTGAAGTCTCTGCGGTCTGGAGTAGAGTCCTTTTCTTAAAAGAATTGACTTTTTGTCAAGCTTAGGAACATTAGGCTGTCTTGGATTGAGTGGCAGGGTGATCATAGGAAGGCCCTACATTCTTGTGGCTCTGCCTATAGCTTCATTCCTAGTATACCTGTCGCAGAGGGTGGAGGCTCTTTGACTGGGCATCCCTGTTCAGAATACTACTGTAGTTAGAGTTGCATGTTGATGGTGTCATTTTACTATGAAGCTGTGGTATTGGGCCAGTGAAGGTCTGTCAGTTGCTGAGTATGTTTATTCCAATTATGCATTCCAGAACTGGGAAAATAACCACAGGATGGATTCAGGGACCCGTTGTAGCCCGTTGTAACCCGTTGAGCTAAAACTCCATCAATCACCTGACCTCCATAAGCCCCTACTCTGACTGGTGGACCACAGTGATGTTTTGGGTCTCTTGGGATTAGTGTCAGAGCTAGTGTCTAGTAATCTCCAAAAAGTCTGATTATTTTTTTTTCCCCAGTGCATAGTCACCCTGGTAAAAGACCACAGATCACTTTGGGGAAGACTGGGAGAAAGATTAACATTATAAATTTTTGGAAGTATAGTGGGGTCCTTTTCAAGGGGACCTGGCTTCCCCTTCATTCAAGGGGTTGTGAGTCTATAAACTGGCTCGTCTGGGAATTGATTGAGGGGCCGTGACTCTCTGCATTCCTGACTCAGGGTGGAGGAGAAAATTATCTTCCAGTCACTTAGTTTTTGTCCTTCACCCTCAGGTGTGTCGAGAGCCCCACCTTCCTCAGGGCCACCTCCAGTCTCAACAGCACAGGCCCCTGGTGGTCAGGCTGCATATGGCCAGTTTGGCCAGGGAGATGTGCAGAATGGGCCGAGCTCCACTGTTCAGATGCAGAGGTATGTACTTGGGTCATGTAAAATCGGTCTGATGAAATTGTAGGATTAGGAATGTGTGAGGGTCTATTTCCTTGTCGTCTTTTTCATTGCATTGCCCATAGATCCCTTTTTCTTGTCCTTCCTCTCTTTATATTTTCTGTTTCTTTTTTTTCCCCCAGGTTGCAAGTTGCAGGTGCTGCTGATGTCCAGCCCTCTGGTTTATTGACCCAGCTTAGTGGCTGGGTTCTTTTGCGTGTTCTTCCTTTCTGTGAACTTGAGGTTTTCTTCCTTGACTAGACATACACCTTTAATAGTTGTAGCTCCTATCGAGCTTACCTTAAAGGTGAAACAGGAGGAGGGAACCTTAGGATTATTTGTGTCTTTTCTGACTTCCCCCTTTTCTCTAGATCAGGTACTTAGTAGGAGTGATTGATTAAGTTTGGGCAAGGGCAGTTATGAAAGGAAAGATATCCAAAAGAAAACCACATAAATGATGAAAACGTAGGTGGTGCATGGTTTAACTCACCTCTGCCTTTGCATAGAAGTCCATTAAAGGAGGAAGGTCATCTCTGTTGGAGTATTGTGTTGTTGTTTTTTTTTTTTTTGGTAAACAAAGAATAAAGTATAACTGTGGATCGGGGGTGTGGTAATGGAAGAATCACTTTCTAACACTTTTATTGGATGTCCAGAATATACATGTTAAGCAGTGAATGTAAGCCTGGAGAAGGAGCTTGGGAAGCTCTGTCTACCCTTGCGTGTTGGGAACCATGAGAAGCAGTAGAGAAGCAGTATAGGGAATTCATTCATTTGCTCAAAATACTTATTTTGCACTATTATGTGCTAAACATTGTTCTGGAGGTTGGGGATAAAGCAGTAAATCAGAGACCAAGTCTCTGCCTTCATGAAGCTTACATTCTAGAGGAGTACACAAAAGATAATAAGTAGAAATACATATAAAATAAAACAGGGTGGGGAGTTAGAGAATGACTGGTGATGAGGTAGAGAGCTGTTTTATATATGCTGGTCAGGGAAGGCCTCGGAGAAGTGATGAAGTAAGCCATGCAAAGATCTGAGGGAAGAGTGCCTTAGGTAGAAGAAACAACAAGTGCAAAGGCCCTGGGCAGAAATTAATTTTGTGGGTATGGGGAAAAGCAAGAAGCTCAGTGTGGCTAGAGCAGAGTGGAGAGTAGAAGAGAAGAGGTAGAAACATAACCAGGGGCCATATCATTTAGTGCTTTGTAAGCCATAATGAGAAGTTTAAGTCTGATTTTAATAGCAGTGAGAAGCCATTGGAGAGTTTTAAGCTGGGGAGTAACATGGTCCCATTTGTTCATTCATTCATTTAATTGATTGATCAATCTTTTCATTGTAATATAAAACACGTACAAAAAATAAAAAACATACAAAAATGTATGGCTTAGTGAATTATTATAAAGCGAACTCCCTTGTAACTACAACCTAGATCAAGAAATAGAAAAAAAGAGAAATAGAACTCTGCTGCCTACCCGAAAGCCCCTTTCCTGTGCCCCAGCTCAGCCACAACTCATGCCCTTCCCCCAAAAATAACTATTATCTTGACTTTATAGTAACCACTTTCTTGTGTTTTAAAAATAGTTTACACATGAATGTACATCCCTAGATACTACAGTGTAGTTTTACCCACTTTAAAAAAACTTGGTGTGTCTTTTAAGTTTACAGATGGTCCCCCTGTATGCCTTTCTTTTGCTTACTCTTTTATCTGTTGAAACGCCCAAGCCAACTGATCTGAAGAGTTTCCTACAGTCTGGATTTTCCTGGTTCCATATTCATGTTACAGTCCAACATGTTCCCCTTTCCTCTGTATTTCCTACAAATTGGCAAATGGATACAGAGACTGGATCAGACTTAGGTTCAGTCTCTTTGGCAAGACTATGGATAGTGTGGGTCCAGACAGTGGGAGGCACATAAATATCTTACTCCAACTCTGTGATGTTAGCAGTGATTGATGCTTATGTATATTAATTCCTTGAGTTTATAAAGTGGTGATACTCTAATTCTTTGTTTCTTTTTCATTTGTTAATTTGAATACCATTATAAAGAGACAGTTTTGTCATCTGTTGTTTGGTTACCTACCAGTTGTGCAATTCATATAGGAAATGTGGAATAAATGCTTGATTCTTTACCTTACCAGTTTTCAAGGGAGTGAATTGGTCCCCTGTCATTGCTGAAAGTGGCCAATTCTTTTTAATATTATTATGAATGTATGGATTTAAACATAGTTGATGGGTTTCAATCCATAGCAATTATTATCATTATTGAAGTTCAAAGTGTCCCATCTTTGACCAGTGGGAGCCTTTTCACCTTGAGCCATGAGTCCTTTGACGTGACCATAGTAGTCTTTAGGTATGATAATCTTAATTTGTATTTTTCTAATTACTTAGGAGATTGCACAGCTTTTTAATATGTTCTTTTACTATCCGTATCTCTACTTTGGTTAATTGTCCTTTTTAGTTTTTGTCCATTTTTTCAACTGGGTCATCTTTTTCTTATTGATTAGTAGGAGTTCTTCATGTATTCTGGATACTATTTTATATGTCTGTTTTATGTGTAAATATATTTTCCAGATTCATCTTATACATTTTATGCCCCAGACCTGGAATTAGCCTTTTCTCCAAGAAATCCTTTGTTGTTGTTTTTTTTTAAGTCTTGTATTTCAGGACTATAATTTGGGTGCTAGATATGCTCATTCCTGCTGGATTGGTCATTGTTTCTAGGCCTTTTCAGTGGACAAAGCTAAGAAATACATACGTATGTATATTAGAGATAAAATATCTCATTAGTTTATGTTGGTACTTCCAATTCAAATTGAAGACTACAGAGCCTTTACTTAACTTCTTTCCTATTGCATCTGTATCTCTCAAGAACGATGAGGACGATGGAATTAGAATATTGGAATATACCACAATTTCTCATTTATTCTACCCCTTGTTACACACAACAGTCTTCAGTACAACAAATACTATCACTATCACCAGTGTGGTTACTGAAAACATTTTTAAAAAGTTATTTTGCATATCATAATTTAAAAAGTATTTATTTAAAAAAAGAGATCACTTTGCTGATTCAAGAGTAGAAATAGGAAGGTAGCACAGTGGTTAAGACCATGGCTGCTAACCAGAAGGTCGGCAGCTCAAATCCACCAGCTGCTCCTTTGAAACCCTATGGAGCAGTTCTACTCTCTCCTACAGAGTCGCTATGAGTTGGAATCGACTCCATGGCAACTTTTTTTCTTTTTTTTTTTGGTTGGGGGCATTTATTAGGAGGCTGTTGGAGTAGTTCAGGTAATAGATGATCTTGGTTTGGTTCAGAATGGTAGCAGTAGAGGTGAGAAGTAGTCAGATTTGGGATACATTTTGAAGATAGAGTTGGATGTGAATTAAGAGAGAAAGAGGAATTATGGATGATCTCTTAGCGTCTTGGCTTAATCAACTGAGTACGTGGTAGTGCTATTTACTGAGTGAGGAATACTTGAGAAGGAGCCGATTTTGGACGTGAAATGAAGGGCTTTATTTTGGACATGGGTTTAAAACAGCTATTAGCTATCCACGTGGAGATGTTGAGTAGGCACTTGGATATACAGATTTGCAGCTCAGAGATGATGATGTCAGAAATGGAGATGTACATTTGGGAGTCCTCAGTCTAGAGATAATATTTAAAGCCATGGGGCTGGATGAAATCACTTAGAGAGTGAGCACTGAGAGTAAAGAATAGAATTGAGGACTGAACCTTGGAGCTTACCAACATTTAAAAGGAAGAAAGAGGAGGAGCCATCAAAAGATAACGAGAAAGAGGAGTGTGAGGTAGGAGACAAGCCAGGAGAGTTTGGTGTCCTGAAACCAGAACTGACCATTGGATTTGGCAAGGTTGACATCATTGACAAATATATGGTTTCAGTATATTGATACCAGTATTTTAATACTATGAATGACAAAAAATGCAAAGCCCAACCAAGAGCTTAGGGAGATAAGGTTTGTGATCTAATAAGTGAATAGTGCTAAGAAAATACTAGTTGAATGAATAAATGAAAAGTGTTAAAACACTTGGATAATAGAAGCTGAGACAAATATAGTAAAGTACCAGTTATTTAGTGAAGACAAAACAAGGCAGAAAGTATAAATCAGAAGTTTCGGTGTAATATTGACTACTGTTGTGAAGAATTTGATTCATTCCTGAAATCTCAGGCACTTGTGTGTAATGTCTTAAGTTGTAGATTGTTCAACAGTCTGCAGTAATATCACCATAAAACACCAGTGCAGTTGCATGTATGTGATAAGCAATGATTTTGTATTTATATTCAAATATACATCTGATATTACAGGAGTGTCCAACATAGCTATCCAAGAACAAAGCTTTGCTAGATACTAGTCCCAGCTGGAAGGCTACCTGGTTTGTGTCCTGTTTCTTTAGTCCTTTTCTAGTAGAGTTAGATGACACACAACCTTGCTTCCTGAAAGCAAAGGGGACTTGAAGCACTTACTAATGAATATCAATTATTACAGCCTTCAGTGTGGATTACAGCTCTACTTAAAGAAAGCAAAAATCCTCATAACTGGACCATTAAGCAACATCATGATAAATGGAGAAAATATTGAAGATGTCAAAGATTTCATATTATATGGATCCACAGTCAAAGCCCATGGAAGCAGCAGTCAGTCTTTCACATTGGTATAGGATGCCAAACTCAGCTGACCTGCTCCCCTGATCTTACAGATTTTTCTGACATCTTTCCCAGGATAAAGTGATACTTGGGTTTAAAAGTTAAACGATCAAACTGTATGTGGTTGATCCCACTTGTATTAAGTGCCTGTAATGTGCATGCTATGTGCACCTTCCCTTTAATTCCTTCACTGAAGTGGTTTGTCAACAAAGGATTGAGGCCAAAAAGACAAAACCCATTGCCATTGAGTCAATTCCGACTCATAGCGACCCTATAGGACAGAGTAGAACTGCCCCATAGGATTTCCAAGGCTGTAATCTTTATGGAAGCAGACTGCCACATTTTTCTCCTGTGAAGTGGCTGGTGGGTTCAAACTGCCGACCTTTCGGTTAGCAGCCAAGCGCTTAACCACCGCACTACAAGGATTGAGGCAGAAGAGGTGATAACTTATCCAGCAGAGTAAATAGTACTGGATAAGAGGGTGCTCGGCATGTGTTTGTAGAATGAACTTAGAGGAAAACAATATTTGCCATGAATAATCATAGTGTAGATAAGAATTTATCTACAAATATACAAAAGTATAAAGCCATAACAGAGTCCAGGATAGGAGTAAGATACTGTAAAACAGTACGGCTTCTTGCATGATGTGGAGCTCCTACCAACTTTCAAGGGTACCCCAGCCCAGTAGTCATCTTTGCTTTTCTTCTCTTCGTAGACACCCTGGATTGCAGCCATTTGGGTCAGCCCCGTTGGCCCCTGTGGTCAGCCAGCCAGCTGTGCTTCAGCCCTACGGCCCTCCCCCGACAAGTACACAGGTGACTGCTCAGCTGGCAGGAATGCAGATCAGTGGTGCTGCGGCCCCAACTCTTCCCCCTGCAGGGCTGGGCTATGGTGAGTAGTTGTGACCACAGGAATGTTACTGTCCCCTTCTTTTCAGAGGCATCAGGCTCTGGGGCAAAAACCTGAATCCCTTTTATTTCCTGTACTTCTGAGCCCCAGAAGGTGGGATAGTTATAGCTGCCACTCTTGTGTAGAAGGGGAAGTGATTTACTGAACAAGGAGGCAGAATGACTGTGATTCTAACTCTACCTCTTCTACTTCTCAGGCCCACCAGCCTCACTGGCCTCAGCCTCAGGAAGTTTCCCTAACTCTGGTCTGTATGGTTCCTATCCTCAGGGCCAGGCTCCTCCCCTTAGCCTGGCCCAAGGTCATCCTGGGGCTCAGCCTCCCCAGCGATTTGCCCCGCCACAGGCTTCCAGCTTCACACCTCCAGCTTCGGGAGGGCCTCAGATGCCTTCGATGACTGGTCCGCTCCTGCCTGGACAGGGTTTTGGGGGGCCGCCTGTGAGCCAGCCTAACCACGTGTCCTCACCTCCTCCTCCTCAAGCTCTGCCTCCTGGCACCCAGATGACTGGGCCCCCAGGACCACCGCCACCTATGCACTCCTCCCAGCCAGGCTATCAGCTGCAACAAAATGGTGAGTCTTTTCCAAGGTTTGTTCTGCTAGGAGCCAAAGGCTTTAGTTATTCACATATTGTTTTGGTTTTGATTTTTTTGTTTGTTTTTTAGGATTGCTTGCTAAGTGGTAAGCTCAATGGACAGCTTCAGGGTATTATTATTATTAGGATGTGGAGTTAATAAGATGAATAGTTTGATAGTGTGGTCTTCCTCTGAAATGGCTTCGCCAGTCATTACTGTACCTCATAATTCTACATTTATAGGAGTCTAGTCATTTCCTTAGGCATCTGGTCATTTCCCTAAGGCCTTAAGAGGAGAGAAGGAAAGGATTTTGGGTTCATGAACCTTTTGCTGTTGTCTTCCAGGTTCCTTTGGACCAGTCCGAGGCCCTCAGCCCAACTATGGAAGCCCCTACCCTGGAGCACCCGCCTTTGGCAGCCAGCCAGGGTCTCCCCAACCACTGCCTCCTAAGCGCCTGGATCCTGATGCCATCCCAAGCCCTGTAAGTAGATACTAATGTGGTTCCGGGGAAGGAGTTTGAGTATGCCAGATGAATGGGTCAACCTAGAAGGGGTGTTTGCCTAGCATTTTCTGATTATTTTCCCTTTTCATTCATCTTCTTGTAGACATAAAACTTAAGTGTAATTTTTTGACTCTGTGAACTGGAACTTGAGGCCCCAGGAATCTTCTGGGAACTATTTTACTCCATAGTTGGGAAGGGAAGGAAGGGAAGCCAAGAGTGATCGCCAGTGACAGTAACTCTGGGTTGAATGCTGCATTCTGTCACTAGTGGACATACCATGGTAACCTCTGCCCTTCCATGGAGTATTGGCTGGTCCAGGTCTTGTCCACCTCAGACCTAGTAGGATAGCATTCTTCCTAATGTGTAAAGCAGGCGGGAATTCTCTGGTGTTAGGTGTTAAGAGAAGGAACCTCACTGGTTTCTCTCTGCCCCTACTTGGACAGTGTTTTAGGAGGAAGTCCCCATTACTTTTGGTTGCTGTGTGGATGGGGAAGTGATCTACAGTTTGCAGAGGCAATGTGTGTGTAAAATTCCTGTGGGGAAGCTGCTTCTCCCAGAAAGAGGGTGAATCATCCTTAGAACCATCAGACTCCTTAGATACTCCCTGTCATACTCGGAATAGAGGTGGGGCTATACTCCTAAGTAGTTTACTTTATAGATTATAGTTCTGTCTGCAACATTTGCTATGTCAGTTACCTCACCATGCTTAGTCATTGTCATATTCCATTCTGTTCTCTTCCCTCTTCGTTTGGGGAACTACCATGGTGAGGGAGCCTGTTGGCTAAGGAGAACCCAGGAGGATTAAGCAGTCCTCTCCTTCCTTTCCCCTGCCTTCAGTGCCAAGGAGAATCTGGCTGGATGTGAGGAGAGGCTTCTTTCCGCATAAGGATAGTCCATAGGGTAGGAGATTTGGCCTTTTGGAGAGAGCATCCCTCTACTTTTCTCTTTAAGGCTTCTCCAGTTCAGCCCCTCTCTATATGATCCCTGCTTGCTTCCTGTTTGCTCCCTTTCCTAATCTTCCTACATCATAGTCTGAGCCATCAAAGCCTCTGTGTTGGGCCATAAAGACTTGGAATTTCAGATCTAGAGGAGCCTGATTTCAGCAGTATGAGCTGGGCTCTAGCTGTTCATGTCTAACCCATCAGGGTTGAGAGAAGTAACATCTGCTTCTTGTTCTTTTGTCTCCCTCCCTGTATTCCCCTGCTGCCTTTTTATTAAAACACTAAAAGCAACTCAATGAGCTGCCTCCTCAGCAGAAAACCAGGCACAGAATAGATCCTGATGCCATTCCTAGTCCAGTAAGTCCAGGGGGTGGGTGTGTGTGCGCGTGTCATCCTCCGTTAGTGCCATCCATGCATGCCTGTGACCTCATCTTCACCTCATCCACCATGGCCATCCTTCTGTATGCTCTTTCCTTTGCCGTTCTGGACCTTGCTTTTACAAGCTAGAAGGCTGTGCATGCCTCAAGTCGCCCTGCAATGAAGAGGTAGCAAGCTGTTAGCAGTGGTTTAAGTATGGGGTGGTAGAAGATCGGGCTTTAAGGGATGGGGGCCAGGTGGCATGTTAAGCTTTGGTTTTAGTCCTGCTGGCTCTCCCAGGAGTCTGCATGTGACTTGTGATGGAATAAGATAAAACTGAGCAGTAGATCTTTCCACTTTGGGATTGATTTGTCCACAGACTGTTGTGGAGAGACATTTGGGTAGGTGCTACTAACGTACATGTTCATGGTATCCCAAACTGGCATTTCTTACAGGAGAAGGAACTGCTAGTTTGGGAAGGTGTGGGCCACTGTCTCATAGGGAGACTGTTTGACTGTATTTCTAAACTTCAGCCCTTTCTGCTATGAGATACGCAGTATCATTCTCCCTTTACTTTCTCTGATTTTACCAAACCCCTCTGGAAGTAAGTAACTGACCAGAAGTCACCAGTCTGCCCGAGGGTTTGTTTACCAACTTTACAAGTGCTTTTTTTTTTTCTTCTTCACTGGATATGTCAAGATGTGGGGGACTGAGGATTGGGCTACAAAGTTTGGGTACTTATTTTCTCCCCACATACGTACGCGCAGATGCTTACCTGAAAGTAAGGCAGCATCTGCTTCCTCACCTTCCTCACCTCATTTCTGGTCGTTTTATCCTGTCCTCACCCTGTCCCTTGTACTTCTATTGAGTGTAGAGCCATTCCAGGTAGATTCATTTTCACATGGTTACTGGTGTCTGTTTTCCTGCTGTCACTCAGAATGTGTCTTCGGGAGATGAGGGGGAAGGCTTGATGGTGGAGGGGGAAGGCTTGTGATTAGGGCAGGAGCTTTCCTGGAGTGGAGGGGGGGCAATGAGAGGGTGATCACCATTGATTGGGGTTGTGGGGTGGTTCATAAAGCAGTCCATTCTCAGTGTTGCCTGCCCAGCATTTTGCTGCTGGCTCCAGAGTGGAAGATTGGCATTGTAGCATTTTATGTGATCTCCAAAAGGAGAGCAGGCCTGGCGCATGAAATGTTCCATGGCAAATTATTAGTTTCTGTGCTGCAGCTCCAGGCTTTCTTTCTCCTGGGACCTGACACTTCCTTTTCTTCTGTCACCTCACTCGCTTCACTTTTTCCGTGCAGATTCAGGTCATTGAGGATGACAGGAACAACCGGGGTTCAGAGCCATTTGTTACTGGAGTACGGGGCCAGGTGCCACCTTTAGTCACCACCAACTTTCTGGTGAAAGACCAAGGTAAGAAGGGCATCAGCTTCTACTGTGGAGGCTTTTTCTCCAGGATTATCAGCTTGTTGGTGGAGCTTTAGTCAGTCTTTAACCAGAGCCCAGTCCTCCATTAGTTTTTGGGGGAAAAAAAGTCACCACCAGCTCTAGCATTTGTGGGAGTGATAGGGTGGATCAGCAATGGAGGGCTGGTGTCTGGAGGGGATTCTGTCATCTGACTCAGGTCTTCTACCTTCTCCTTCAGGGAATGCAAGTCCCCGATACATCCGATGCACAGCCTATAGTATCCCTTGCACATCTGACATGGCTAAGCAGGCTCAGGTGCCCCTGGCAGCTGTCATCAAGCCTCTGGCAAGGCTGCCCCCAGAGGAGGTGAGTCAGGGAAGGGGCTAAAGAATAATAGAAGGGAAGGAGGAAGGGGAAATAAGTCTTCTTCTGGATGTGAGTCTGGCCGCCACAGTGGAAGAAGTCATGTTTGGGCAGGACTGGAGAGTATCTTCAGTAGTTTTCTGTCCCAGGGCCTGTGTCTGGAGGGGACAGTAGAGACGAAAGCAAATGCCCAAGGAGTTGCTGGGTGGGAGCAGGGCCCACCCTAGAGAAGAGGAGACAGCTGGCATGAGGAGCTTCTCATAGCATGATTATCTTTAGACAGAAACATATTCTGTTTTTTTCTTATATGCTGTCCTATCATCCCAGGTAGGTTAGGGATGTTAGGATAGCATATAAGAAAAAAAGTAGATGAGAACCCAAGTGTCCTTCCTTTCTCTGTCACCCCAGTACCTGAAATCAGCATGAAAAGAGGGAGAGCTAGGCAACAGCTCATGTTCATGCCTAGCTCTTCCAGTTTCAGATGGGATTCTCTATAACTGAAAGCTCAAGGCTCACATTGCATCCTGCTGCCCTCTCAGTTTTGCTTTGTGTTTTCTCTTTCTCTCTTATTGGGTCCCAGAGGGGATGGTTGGACACTTGGGCACTGATCTCGTATCTGTAGGGTGACATATACCTGGGTTATCAGTAGGTACCACAGAAACCCAAGGATGGGGGAGTACAAGTGTCATAGATACTTGGTTGGGGAAGGAAGCAGGAGTCAAGATTCCTAGGGCAAGAGTGAAGGGGATTGGAGACAGGGCCAGAAACAAAAATCTTAGGTAATCTTTGGCTTTCTCTTCATATGTCCATCCAGCCCCTGGCATGGTATGGCCAGTTTCATAGTCCCTCCTCTCTTTCAAGGAGAAATGCGATTCTGGGATGAGGTGTAGGGAGAGGGAGTTACAGAATTTGGACTTTTAGGGACATTACTTGTCCTCATTCCCTCTCCTCCACTGTACTCCCTCCCCAAGGCAAAATATCTGAGCCATGCTCCTCTCCTCCAGGTTGTTCCTCCTCATCTGTTAGAACATGTCTGAACCCACTGTAGCTTTCCCTCCATGTCTGAGGCCCTCCCCCTTTGCTCCTTAGGCTTCACCGTATGTCGTGGACCATGGGGAATCTGGCCCTTTGCGCTGCAATCGCTGCAAAGCATACATGTGTTCCTTCATGCAGTTCATCGAGGGAGGGAGGCGCTTCCAGTGCTGCTTTTGCAGCTGTATCAATGATGGTGTGTTCAAGGAGGCTGGGATTAGGGGGGTGGGGGTGGGGGGTCTTGACTGCATCTTCATTGCTCTCTTTCTAGTTAGATAGGTGAGGGTCCATCTTTCAGGATTTGGGGAAGTCGGGCATACATGGGGAAGTGGAGGCAATAAAATGAGCTCAGCCAGGGCCAGACTTACTAAGATTGAGAGTGGACCTTTGAGTGATACACTACCATACTCCCCACAGTTCCCCCCCAGTATTTTCAACATCTGGATCATACCGGCAAACGCGTGGATGCTTATGACCGTCCTGAGCTATCTCTGGGCTCTTATGAATTCCTGGCCACTGTAGATTACTGCAAGGTGAGGGAAGGTAGCATGGGGAGGAGCAGGTGGAGGATAATGAGACAGCTAAGACTTGCTGTTATCATTTCCCTCCCCTCAACCCTTCCTTGTCCCCTTTAATGCTGACTTCTCTCCAGTCAACTAGTATCCTTACCAATACACCTCTCCCGCCAACATTTACTTTCTCTGCAGAATAACAAGTTCCCCAGCCCTCCTGCCTTCATCTTCATGATTGACGTCTCCTACGATGCCATCAGGAGTGGTCTTGTTAGGCTCCTCTGTGAGGAGCTCAAGTCACTGTTAGAGTTTCTACCTAGGTGAGAGTTACGGAGCTGAGGTGCTTCCTTTGGATAATGATGGGGTGTTTGCGTTGACTGAGAAGACAAAGCCTGATGTCATGAAGTTGGGGGTGGTGGAAAATGTGGCAAGACTGGGTAATATTGTCACCTTTACAGGGAGGGCGGGGCAGAAGAATCTGCAATCCGTGTTGGATTTGTCACCTATAATAAGGTGCTCCACTTCTACAATGTGAAGAGCTCACTGGCTCAGCCACAGATGATGGTTGTATCTGATGTGGCTGACATGTTTGTGCCACTGCTGGATGGCTTCCTGGTCAATGTCAACGAGTCCCGGACAGTCATCACCAGGTAAGAGCTAGACTATGAATGGGAGCAAAGACAGGGTGGGGTGAGTACACCCATAGAAGGCTAGGAAGTTGAACAGGACAGAAGCTGAGGTACAGGAGTTTTCAGAGTCTGGGAGCCAAGTGACTCTTCAGGGAATTGAAAAGTGAGGAATCTGGACAGTAATTTTGATTGCTTCCCCACACTTATCTCTTCAGTTTATTGGATCAGATTCCAGAAATGTTTGCAGACACAAGGGAGACGGACACAGTATTTGCCCCAGTTATCCAGGCTGGGATGGAGGCTCTGAAGGTAAGGCTGGAGTCCCCAGAAGTCTCCCCTGCCTCACTTTTCTCGCACAATTTTACCCACTGGGATACAACTCCAGTTTCTTCAGGGATTAATGACTGTCCAGTAAGTCAGCCTGTCTGACATAGTTGGCTTTGAATAAATGAAGAGGGAAGGGATGAATGAATAATGGATGAGTAAAGAATGAGCAAGTAGTCTTGTCTTCTTTCCTAGGCTGCTGAATGTGCAGGGAAGCTGTTTCTGTTCCACACATCCCTGCCCATTGCAGAGGCACCAGGAAAACTGAAGAACAGGGATGACAGGAAGTTGATCAACACAGACAAGGAGAAGGTATGGGATCGGGAAGTGGGGGGAGGACGAATCCATTACAGAGGAAGGCGGTGACTCCTCACAATGCCATACTCTTGCCTTTTATAAGGGAAACTGGGACCAGACACCCTGACATTTCACATGTCACATCTGTAACTCCCAACCTTCTTCATTGCTTCCACACCTCTCTTATCCTGTCTCATCCCCAAAGCCCTTGGTCAACCATTGCAAACTCCTTGGAGGCACGGCTGAAATCTTAAGGGTATTCAGGGTGGAGCTGAGGTATCTGAACATTTTCTTCTGTTCCTCCCAGACTCTGTTCCAACCTCAGACAGGTGTCTATCAGACCCTGGCCAAAGAGTGTGTGGCCCAAGGCTGCTGTGTAGACCTCTTCCTCTTCCCTAACAAGTATATGGATGTGGCAACGCTCTCTGTGGTGCCCCAGCTCACTGGTGGCTCTGTCTACAAATATGCTTGCTTTCAGGTATGGCATGGGATTCTGGTTGGCAGGTGGCAGCAGAGCTGGGAATGCCTACCTACATATGGAGTGACTATCTGTTGACTCATTGGTAGGAATAGTCTTTGAGGAGAAGACTACATAGTGTAAAGAAGAGAGCCACAAGCACGTGGTGGTTGAGAGCATGGGACTTGGAATCAGTCCTGGGTTGATATTCTGGCAATCTGGTGACATATATCACTTACTAGTGATATAACCTAGGAGAAATTACTCACTGTCTCTTCTGTTTATCTGTAAAGTGAGGTTTTAATACTTTTTAGTTTGGATTTGTCATCAGAATTAAATAAGATATATGTAAAGCGCTTAGTGTGGTATCTGGCTCGTAATCAGTGCTTAAAAGCTGTCACCATCATCGTCAACATCATTATCATTGTCACTGTTACTGTTTTACTACTAAGCTGGCTTATAGAGTGGAGGGGGTGCAGGGAGATTGTCTGTGTTGTGATGTGACTCTGGGCCTGCGGGGCTGCAGGTGGAGAATGACCAGGAACGGTTTCTGAGTGACCTGCGTCGGGATGTACAGAAGGTTGTTGGCTTTGATGCTGTGATGCGGGTCCGGACGAGCACCGGTCAGTCCTGGTTGGAGAAGAGCAGGTGGGGGGCTAAATCTGGGAGGTAGGCACATGGCATCTGTCATACCTTTAGCCCTGACCCTGTCTGTGTCGACTCAGGTATCCGTGCTGTAGATTTCTTTGGAGCTTTCTACATGAGCAACACAACAGATGTGGAGCTGGCTGGGCTTGATGTGGACAAGACGGTGACTGTGGAGTTCAAGCATGATGATCGGCTTAATGAGGAGAGCGGAGCCCTTCTGCAGGTGGCAGGCGGGAGGCAGGGCCCAGGGAGGAAGTGTCAAGTGTCATTTCACTGGTTATAAATAGGCTGCAGGGAAGAGAGTGAGGGGTGGGTAGAGAGGGCTGGGGGAAGAGCCTGGGGAAGGGATGGCTTGTGTGTTTCTTCTAGTTTCCTCTAACAGTATAGCAAAGGGGCAGTTTCTCAGAGTTCCCCCTTCTCCCTTTCCCTAGTGTGCCCTGCTCTACACCAGCTGTGCAGGGCAGCGTCGGCTCCGCATCCACAACCTGGCCCTGAACTGCTGCACCCAGCTGGCTGATCTGTATCGAAACTGTGAGACTGACACGCTCATCAACTACATGGCCAAGTTTGGTGAGAGAGAGGCAGGGCAGGGCGGGATTGGGGTTGAAGGTCCAGGATGGTCAACAATTGAACATTGCTGGGTAGGTGTGGCGGTGGGAAGGCACATGTAGTGATGTAGCTGACCTGTGTTATCTCCCTTTTCCATCCAGCATACCGGGCGGTCCTGAACAGCCCTGTGAAGACTGTTCGTGACACTCTCATCACCCAGTGTGCCCAGATCCTGGCCTGTTACCGAAAGAACTGTGCCAGCCCTTCCTCTGCAGGACAGGTGGGGCAAGCCTGTTGGAAGAGGGGCTGTTGAGACAGATTTTGCACTTGGGAGAGTTTTCTCATAATCATTGGTTTTATTTTGATAAATTTCTCAGTTGATCCTTCCTGAGTGCATGAAGCTACTCCCAGTTTACCTGAACTGTGTGTTGAAGAGTGATGTTCTGCAGCCTGGAGCTGAAGTCACCACTGATGACCGTGCCTATGTCCGACAGCTGGTTACCTCCATGGATGTGGCAGAGACCAACGTCTTCTTCTACCCTCGGCTCCTACCGTTGGTGCGATTGAGGGTTGCAGTGTGAGGCACTGCATGAGAAAGGGGCACCTTAGAAGGAGAAGGAGGGGAAGGACATACGTTATCTAATTTTCATATTGAGACAGCTACCGAGACCCCAGAAGGAGTGGTTTCTAGGGACTTCTTTTTTTGGGGAAAAAAAAAAATTTTTTTTTAGCGGGGGCAGCCTTGTCTCTGGTCCTTAGTAACCCTTTGCCCCATTCCTTTTGTCTAGACAAAGTCTCCCATTGCGAATACCACCGAACCACCAGCAGTTCGAGCATCTGAAGAGCGTCTTTGCAACGGGGATATATATTTGCTGGAGAATGGGCTCAACCTTTTCCTCTGGGTGGGAGCAAGTGTCCAGCAGGGTGTTGTCCAGAACCTCTTCAGCGTCTTCTCCTTCAGTCATATCACCAGTGGCTTGGTGAGGGCAAGGACTCAAGGAGAATGTGGGTTTGGAAGGGCATGTTGTGATATGAGTGGGAGCCAGTAAAGCCAGCCTGGTAGGCCCCTTAAATATCAGAGAACGTAACTTAGAGAACACTTAGGGGGAAGGGAGAGTGCTGTATTCCTGGATATGATACATAAATTTTTGCTGCCTCATCTTAACTGGACTCAAGAGTACCTTACCAGGGATAAATGAATTTTGTGTTCCAGAGTGTTCTGCCAGTTCTGGATAATCCACTGTCTAAGAAGGTGCGAGGCCTCATTGATAGCTTAAGAGCGCAGAGATCGCGGTACATGAAGGTAACCCTGGATTTATTTTGTCAAGTCCTCAGAAGGTTGTTGGGTAGTGAGCGGGTAATGGGGTTTCAGGACGTCAATTCCCTTTGGCCCTACCTCATGACCCTGCATTCTGGCCATAGCTTATCGTGGTGAAACAGGAGGACAAGCTGGAGATGCTGTTCAAACACTTCCTTGTAGAAGACAAGAGCCTGAGTGGGGGAGCATCCTATGTGGACTTTCTCTGTCATATGCACAAGGAGATTCGGCAGCTGCTGAGCTAGACCAAGTGGGTAAATGGCATAGGGTCCCAGGCCAGCTTCCAGAAAGTACCCAAGACGGCAGAGAAATTGGGATAGTTCCATATCTTATGTCATGTAAGCTGAAGCCACCTCAGTCTCTTTGGGGGGAGGGGGAGGTATAAGGAGACACCTTCTTGGGCTCAAGTATCCTACCACTCTGTCATGTCCTGCTGCTGGAAGGTGCCCACACCTCCTCACTCCACCCTTTTCCTGCTATTCCTGTTGTAATGAATGTAGTTTCTCAGTTAACTGTATATGATTCGGTGTTGGGGGTTTGGAGGTACCCAGACCTTGGCAATATGTGTCCCAGAGGGCAGGTAGGAAGGAGTGAGGATCCCAGGGTTACTACAGGTGAGGGCAAATTCATCTCCGTGTCATCAGCAACTTCCTATATTAGGGATAAAAATATACAGGTGCACAAGAGCTCGGATATAGACCATAGGTGGTAGAGAGAAAAGTGGTTGGTCCTTCCTGGGCCTGGAGGTCAGCAGCCAAGTCGGAGTTACTGAGGGTGGTTGATTAGCTTTCTCTCTGTGCTTCCACTGCTCTCTCTCCTGCAACGATTGGTGATCACTCCGTGGTACTGTCAGAGATGAATGAGCCTGGGAACTGAGTTGCAAGGTATATTAAGACCTAGGAGAGGTCCCAACACTGGATGATTCTGTAGGGAGCCTGGTCATCAATTTGCAATACCTCACAGAGCCAGCCCACATCCCACTCTGAGCTTCCACTGGAAAAATTCACTGCCTCTCCAAGCTGGGAGTTGCTGGGGAGAGAGGCAGAAGCAAGCTGGAGCTCTGTTCTGTCCTGCCCGGACACCACCCGGATTTGGTATTGACAGAGTGCCTGACAGTTTATCTTCCAACCCCAACTGGCTGGGGCAGGACAAGGGCTAGGCTGGAGGTGGCTGGACTTGCCTGCTCCCAGCCTGGGATGCCCCTGCTCTGGACCTCTCATTTCTCTTCATTGGTTTATTTTTCAATGCATCTTTAATTTGTAAAGAAATAAAATAAATTAAGATGTAACCAGTAGTCTCATCTTTAGTCTGGCGCCGGTTTGCTTTCCCTTATGCATTCCCTGCCAGACTTCACAGCATCAGCATGCGCATGCGTCCTGTGTCCCGTGGCATAGGACCTCGTCCCCTCACGGCTGCGGCGGGGCGGGGTATCGTGCTGTCCGAGGGGTGCTGGCTGCCAGAGCGGACATGGCTGCCGGCCGCACGGTGGCTGTGCTTGCCGCCCTAGGGGTTCTTAGTGTCTGTTCGGCTAGCGGCTCTGGCCCCCTGGCAGAGGTGGAGGCCGGCGGGGAAGCGGAGTGGGCGGAACCGTGGGACGGCGCGGTTTTCCGGCCGCCCTCGGCGCTGGGCGCTGTAGGGGTGGCGCACAGTCCGGGGAGCCAGCAGCCAGGGAGGGAGGGAGCGGTGGACTTGCCTGTGCTGCTGTGGTGGAGCCCTGGGCTGTTTCCCCACTTCCCGGGAGATTCGGAGCGCATTGAGTGCGCGCGCGGCGCGTGCGTAGCGTCCCGGGACAGACGTGTCCGAGGAGACTCCCGGACGCGCGCGCTGCTCTTCTACGGCACCGACTTCCGCGCGTCTGCCGCGCCGCTGCCGCGCTTGGCGCACCAGAGCTGGGCGCTCCTGCACGAGGAGTCGCCACTCAACAACTTCTTGCTGAGCCATGCACCGGGCATCCGTCTCTTCAATCTTACCGCTACCTTCAGCCGTCACTCCGACTACCCGCTACCACTACAGTGGCTGCCCGGGACCGCCTATCTGCGCCGCGCCGCCCTTCCGCTCCAGGAGCGCGCGGAGTGGCGCCGCCGCGGCTACGCGCCGCTGCTGTATCTACAGTCCCACTGCGACGTGCCTGCGGACCGGGACCGCTACGTGCGCGAGCTCATGCGTTATATCCCGGTGGGTGAGGGCGCGGAGGGGCGGGGAGGAGTGGGGGCGGGCAGGGCTGACGCACGGAGCGCTGGTGTCCGGGCTGACTGGCCGTACCCTCTACCCCACCCAGGTGGACTCATATGGGAAATGCCTACACAACCGGGAGTTGCCCACCCCGCGGTTACAGGACACAGCCACAGCCACCACCGAGGATCCAGAGCTCTTGGCCTTCTTGTCCCGTTATAAGTTCCACTTAGCTCTCGAAAATGCCATCTGTGACGACTACATGACAGAAAAACTTTGGCGTCCTATGCATCTGGGTGCTGTGCCCGTGTACCGCGGCTCTCCCTCTGTGAGGGACTGGATGCCGAACAATCACTCCATCATCCTTATAAACGACTTTGAGTCACCTCAGAAGCTGGCAGAGTTTATTGACTTTCTGGACAAGAATGATGAGGAATATATGAAATACCTGGCATACAAGCAACCTGGAGGCATCACCAACCAGTTCCTCCTGGATAGTCTGAGGCATCGGGAGTGGGGCGTGAATGATCCTTTACTTCCGAACTACCTGAACGGCTTTGAGTGTTTCGTCTGTGACCACGAGCTGGCTCGGCTGGATGCCGAGAAAGCCCACGCAGCCTCTCCTGGGGACACCCCTGTCCCCAAGCCTCATATTGCCCAGCCCTCACACATGAACTGCCCAGTTCCCACACCTGGCTTTGGCAACGTGGAAGAGATTCCCGAGAATGACAGGTAAGGGTTGTTGGGGTCCCCTGCGGTCGTCAGATCAGATTATCGATTGGAGCGCTTACTGTGGGCAATGAACTAGCACAGGCACTGAGGGGTTGATGGATAAGGAAATTATGACATGGGTTCACTCTGCCTTTAAGGTGTCAAGAGCCTAGTGGGGCAGATATGACAAACTGAAAAAGTTCAGTAAAAGATCTAAAGTATGATTCAAAGCAACAACATACAAAAATCAGTTTATGCCGTAGTGGTTTTAAAAAGGCTTTTTAACCAGAGCAGAGTGACGGTGCAGGGAAGTGATGGGGGAAGCACAAAGTTGGGCAGATAAACTAGGGCCAGGCTATAGAGAGCTCTGGTATGTGGGCTGTCCTGAAAATCAACTCAGCTATTCATTGAGCACCTTGTGTATAGTGGGGGTGAGGGTGGGGATAGGGACAACAAAGATGAGTGTTTTGAGGGAGATTTGTCTGGAATAGTCTGAGTTTACACCTGTTAACCTGGCATAATTATTAATAGCATCTGCTTTCACTCTTAGAAGTGCCTGGTTTGGATCCTAAATTACATGTTCACCCTAGACAGACGCAAAGGAGTGCTTTCAAAAGATTAATTTGACTATGGTGGGCAGTATGGACTGGAAGAGGAGTGAGAAGGCTACTATAGAAGGTGGTGCATTGGGAAACAAGGCCATGCCTGTGGGAGGAGAGGTTATTAAACTTAAGAAAAGAGGCTGCTAGAATAGTTTTTGAGACTGACTGAAACAATCAGTAGCAACAGAGGGTTGCTTATATAAGCACTGCTGGCATAGTTTGGCCCTGCTGGTGGAGTGCTCCATCAAGTTTTTTCTATGTAGTTTTTGTGGAACATAATATGATTTGCTAGAGGAAAAGTGTGAAATAAGAGCCTTTAAAAAAAAATATTCAGGTTTAGTCTTTCCAAGACACTGGATACCACTGCACCACTGCACCTTCATCTTAATTATTGGAATATGGGTGCAACTTAAAAGATAACCATCTAAAAGATCCTGCTCCATTGTTTTCATGGGGAGACTACTGCTGTCATAGTTTGGCCTCTGCCCCACCTGCCTCTGAAGTTCCTCCACATTTGAGAACCAGGAGCAGGCAACTCAGGAATATTAACTCATTTGGTGGGTTGTGTGATGTATTCGTGTTTGTGGCTTGCTGTCTGTCACTTGTTGCGCTAGTACTGCACTTACTTCGTATTTCCTTCCCTTCGCAGTAGAGCCCTATCCTAGCCAGGGACCACTATATATTTAATACTTAAGACACTATATATACTTAAGTTTCTTTGGCCCAAGTCAGACAAAGGTAGGATTTATAGCTGTGCTAAGGCTCCATAATCCAACCTCCATTTTGGTGTTTCAGCTGGAAGGAGATGTGGCTGCAAGATTATTGGCAAGGTCTGGACCAGGGGGAAGCTCTCACTGCCATGATCCACAACAGTGAAACACAGGAGAGGAAATTTTGGGATTACTTACATGAGATCTTCATGAAAAGAAACCAGAACCTCTAATTAGCCTTGCAAGAGCCTTTAACTTGGTAGAGCTAAGGAGATGAGAAGTCCTTATTCTACGATGGGACATAAGGGACATCCACCGCACAAAACCTTAATGTACACTATCTTATCACAGATTCAAGATATTCCAGTTCTAGTCACTGATATTTTATCCTAATGATGTGTAGCCAGGGTCTCAGCCTGTGGTAATAGGGCCTCTCCTCAAGGAGAGGTGGAGGCATTCAGTTCTTGGTTCATTGGGAAACAGAAGTCTGAAGCACCCACTTGATTCAAGATGCTGCTCCAACAGAATTTTTAAAAGACTGCTTATATCTCTAGCCATTTCATCCCCTCAATTCTGACCGGAACAACACCTTAGTACTTGACTACCAGTGAGGTAAGTTGAGCCAGATGTAGGGTCTTAAAACTTCTCCTATTCCATTCCCCAAGCCCCTCATTATTCAGTACGTCTAGTAATCTTCTCATCTCTTGCTTTATAAACTGTTACATTGGTAAGGAAACAAAACTTCTGGTGGGTTGTATTCTGGTTCTCTGGGGCTGTATTTTTATATCATTTACTTTGCTTTTCACATCACATTTTTTATCTTAGATGATTTTTTCCTTCCTGGTTTTAGGTTCTTTTCCACAATTTCTGGAGTTGCAGTAACCTTGCCACCATTCCCACATTCACTCTTCCTTCCATTAAATTGGCTGTGGGTTTGGCAGCTTACTCCTGGTTTATCTAGGGCATATTTGGAATTCCTTCTAACCTCATGAAACAAAGATTCAGTGGCTAACATATGCCATTTCAATTTAATGACTTGTCCTGTTCTATTTTAGGATAGAGATGGAGAATGAGGCTAGAAGTTATCGTAGAAAAAGTTTTATGTATATGTATATATTTTAAATGATTTTAAAGTGTTAAAATAGGCCAACACAAATCTAAGTGCAAATTTTATAGGTCTTTGGCCTTTTTTGTTTGCCTAATGAACTCTTTCCTCTATTTTATTATTTTTATTTGCTACAAAGGCCCATTTCCCCCCAAAGAATCATGGAAACTATGGTGGAAAAACTGCTCAGCATTATAGCTTTAATAATCATCTCATATAGGAGCCCTGGTGGTGCAGTGGTTAAGCACTCGGCTGGTAACCGGAAGGTCGGCAGTTTGAACCCACCAGTCACTTCATGAGAGAAGATGTGGCAGTCTCCTTGCATAAAGATTACAGCCTTGGAAACCTCTTGGGGCAGTTCTACTCTCTCCTGTAGGGTTACTATGAGTCAGAATCAACTCGACGGCAATGGGTTTAGTTTTTGTTTAATCATCTCACAGTCTACCTAGCATTTTCCACTCTAAGAGAATATTCCAGCTTCGTTTACTGTATTACTGATATCCTTCTACACAACTTTACGGCACTGAGACTACTTTTATGATAGAGCCTACCCAAGGGAATAAGGCAGCGAGGCAAGAGATTTAAGTCACCATTTAAGTGGCTAGCTAAATAAAAAGCTATGCTAGTTACACTTAAGAGTTGGAGGCAAACTCTTCTAAACTGCTGTGGTTTGAATATACAGCCTAACTTCCTCTGGGTGGGGAGGCCATTAGTTTTTTCTGGGGCAGTGGAACAAGAATACCTTGGGCCTTAGACCTACTGTGGTTGTAATGCCATATTAATTATCACTAGGGAAGCTCCATAGCGAATCAGTATATCTAGCTGTAAATTAGTTGTGTGTACGTGCTTGTGTGTATTAGATGCTTCAACAAGTAGGGTCCACACTTAATATTGTGATGTCTAAGGATTTTAGCACCAAGGAAAGCATCAGTTTAGGCTGGATTTCACTACCAGGTTCTTTTTTCATTTTATTCATAACAGCATGGAAAGTACGACACTGATTTCTAAACTGCAATATTATTTAAATGCAGACTCTTGATGAATAGTGTAAGACATATTACACAAGTGCAAACCTACGTTAGGACCTAGCTTGCATTATTTGCAATAACAAGGGTAAGTAATAGTCATGCAAGGTAAAAAATCATCCTTACCTGTTCTAATTACACCATCCTGCATTAGCATTTGTTCAGCACTTTCAATGTACCCAGTGGGCTGGCTGTTTATGAGTGATGTGGGTATAGACTCTGGCCTGCTTTGTGGTCAGTGCTTCCCAGCCTTTCTCCTTCATTCCTCTTACCATATAAGTATTCACAAAAGAACAGGGTAGACCAGGTGCTAGATTTCTCACAAGGGAAATCAGAACCAGGAATAGCCACGTGATACTTATCAACTAAAGGCTTCACTTTCCCTATGGAGAAAGTAGGCAATGTGAATTTTCTCTGGGCCCCAGCCTGCAGTGTATAGAGCAGCAGGCTTACTCACTGCAAGGTTGGGGTTATTGGTGTTGGAAGTGTGTGATTAGAATCAATTTTATTTACACTGCTGGAGGCAAAGCTGATGCCTTTATTATATTAAATGTTGCTATTTTCTGTTTTCTCAGGTTTCATTTTGTATAATAAACTGCTTTTTCAAGTGTCTTTTGTTTGGTTATTTTTCTGGAGTGGCATGATAAAGAGTTGGAGACTTGTAAAAAATATTTCAAACATTTGTTCATTCAACAAGTATAGCTGATTTCTCCTTATTCATGGTAGTTACATTATATAAAGTTGCCACAAACACTGAATTAGCAAGTACTGAACCATTGCTCCAAGGGGAATATACAGAGTTAGGTTCCTGCAAGCCACTGGTCACAACATTTCCATCAACTGATCAATATATAACCTTGCTTTATCTGTGTTTCTGTTTAAAGACAACTTGTTTAATATATATTTCTTAATTATATGCAGCATTTATTAATGCTAAAACAATGTTTCAATTACAGCATGGGTAGTACTCTGTACTTGAACTCTTTCACTCAGTCATATATACACAATACACATATACAATTCTCACATACAGTAACCACATTCAGTAGTGTGAACACATACACTGTACAGTAATGCAAATGAAGCCCTGAAAAAATAAAGATGAAGCATTTAAAGGTTTATGAAAACATTAACTAAAATCTTACTTTTGATGGAACTGCAGGATGTATGACCTTGGCTTGCCCCCACAAAAACCAAAGGAGAGATTGGTGGAACTTATTCTGTAGAACAGGAAGAAGTAGACAAGGATGGTGTGTCGGCCTCTGGCAGTTCTGTCTTAGGAGCTGGGCTCTTGCGACTTGTTGACGGCACTGGCAATTCTCCCTCCTGAACCTACTTGAAAAACTGCATCAGCCTTGTCAGCTTGGCTTTTTGCCTCAAATGTTTAAGTGTCTCAGCATAAGGTGTGAATGCAGTGGAGGTTATATGCTTAAATCTGAGACTGTGTTCAAGCATAGGGTCATATTCTTCTGTATCACTGAAAAATTTTTCCAAGTCAGAATTCCACTCCAATATTTTGGCCACTGTGAGAGGGACTGTCATCCTTGTCATTGTTGAGTCCGATGCCTTGTTTTGCCATCTCAGCCAGGTCTTAAGGCTTTCTCAGCCAAAATTTCCTCCACATCTTCCTTCGTGTTGTTGAATCCTTTTACCTGAAATTCTTCTGCAGCCTTCTGATCTGCAAAATCTGCCCTGCCTGCAAGTTTAACATTTTTCATGCTCTTTCACCTTTTGAAACGTGAGCCAGCCAGGACTAGCTGAGAAAGGTTTAACATTAAAGTGACTGTGGGTAATGTGACCTTAACTTTCTTTGGCTTTCAGCCTTACAACAATGCTGTCCACTATACATATTTTATTGGCTGTCATCTCATGAATCCAGAAATTTTTAGCTGCTTTTCCATAACTTCATCACACACTATAGATGTTACTTTAGTATTTTTTGGAGTGGCCTCACATACAGATCAGCAAATTTCCTCTTCCTTTTTCTTGCTATACTGTATTGTTGATTCGTTAACATTGAACTCAGGACCAAGGACATTGTAACTCATGCCTGAATGAAGCTTATCTAACATGTATCTTCTCCACAGGCACATCACAGCTTTCTTGCGCTTAGGAAGACTAGACAGCACTTCAGCACTACTCTTGGGGGCCATTTTAAACAGCGAAATCACCAACAAAACACAAAAATAGAAGAAATGTGGCACTAAATAGACCATGATGACATTTGTTTATAGCATGAAACAAGAAGGTTGAGAGCTGGGCAAATCAAAATGTTCAACACTCCACACGTCTGTGAATGACCATGAGAGCACTGTTTGATTTTGGTGTTACAAATACATTTTAGTGAGGAGGTTCGTAGATATGGAATCTGCAAATAATAAGAACTATTTACTGGCACTATCCTAGGCACTGGGGTTTCATCAATGAATAAGATAGACAAGGTCCCTTCTCTTGTGGTGCTTACATCTTAAATGGGTGTTGCCGTAAGGAAGGCTACAAACAATAAATGAACAAGATAATTCAGACTGTGATAGGTGCTGTGAAGAAAATAAAACAGGTTTGATGATGTGACTGATGGTGAAGGGGTCTGCCAAGTCAGGGAAGGCCTCTCTGAAGTGGACTGAGTCTTAAGGGAAGAAAAGGAGCCAGTCATGCAAAAATCAATGGGAAGATTCCAAACTTCTCTGATAACTGATTTTAACACACTAAATTTACACATCCAAATAAATACTCCTCCAAAGTAGTCCTCTTATGAACTACAAGCTTATTCAACTTATGGACTGAATCTTGTAAACAGCCCCAAATCACTTAAGACTTAAGTCTGATTAAGACAAGTATCACAACGGAAGGTTGAAGTCTATACATGGAATGATACTACCAAGTATCGGTGAGAGGATTAAATAAGATAATGCTTAAGTGCTTAACCTTACCCAATGAGACCATTACCAGTGAGCCAACGGTATCTAAGTAACAGTAGTAACCCAAACCCATTGCCGTCAGTCGATTCCGATTCACAGCGATGCTATAAGACAGAGTTGAACTGCCCCATAGGGTTTCCAAGACTGTAAATATTAACGGAAGCAGACTGCCACATCTTTCTCCCGCGGGGTGCCTGGTGGGCTCGAACAGTCGACTCGTCGGTTAGCAGCCGTGCGTTTAATCACTGCGCCACCAGGGCTCCTTAGTAGTAGTAATTGTTATGAAATAAAAAGCCTAATTTTTCTGTGCGATTTCCGAGTGGCTCTAAAGGTAGTCAAAAACAACAGTTCTTCTAAGTTTATTAAAACAAATTCTCCAGCTAATATCTTGAAGTCTCGTATTTTGATTCCCTTCCATCCTCTCTCCCCTTCCCTACGTCAGTCACCCTCTAGTCGAGCCAGCTACCACCAGAAACAATGTCCATTTATCGGGGTTCTTTCCTGGGTGTCCCTGACCCAATACTGCCCCCAGGCTTCAGGGTCCCGAGCCCAGAAAAGAGTGGCCTCGGCCGACAAAGATTCTCCTCCTCCTAACCTGCACACCGGTCTGGACCAGCCGGTGTCCCGACCCATCTTCGCAGCAGCCACTACCAAACAATGCGAGAGAGGTTCCTGCCGGCGTAGGGGTCACGCGGGGTCACGCACGGCACCGCAGAGGCTGCCGGGAGCTGGGTGTGCAATGGCGACGCCCAGCCTGCGGGGCCGCCTGGCGCGGCTGGGGAACCCGCGGAAGCCTATACTGAAGCCCAACAAGCCCCTCATCCTAGCTAACCGCGTCGGGGAGCGGCGCCGGGAGAAGGGCGGTGAGTAGTCAGAGCTGAGGAGGCCGCGGAGCGGAGGGGACGGGGGCGGTCGACTGGGAAGGCGAGAAGGTAAGGGTCTCCTTGTGTCTGAGGGTCCCCCCATTCTGCCCCACCAGAGGCGACCTGTATCACAGAAATGTCAGTGATGATGGCTTGCTGGAAGCAGAATGAATTCCGCGACGAAGCGTGCAGAAAAGAGATCCAGGATTTCTTCGATTGTGCTTCGATGGCTGAGGTGACAGAAGCCTCCTGGGATTGCTTTCTCGGGAGGAGAAAGGGGAGATACAAGTAATTGTTTTCCTTGCCCTTTCTTAGGTGATAGGAAAGACCCTCTCATCCTAAAAGGGCGAGGAAAGTTTTGGGAGCTTTTTCACCCACGGTTTTGAAGGCTGTGTGATCTTGAGCAATTTATTTCACTGCTTTGAGCTTTAATTTTACCAGATGTAAAATGAGGTTAATGATAATACTCATAGAATTTTGTGTCAAGTGAAGTAATGAATGGGAAAAACACCGTGTAAAATTTAAATTGTCTGAAATAGAACTAAAGATAGTGAAGCTATCTGAGGGCAGGTTGTTTAGTTTCCAGCCTAGACTTAATTGCTACCCGGCATAGTAGCTTCAGAACAGTCTTTTGTAGCTCCCAAGTCCCTTTTGTTGAAAGGACACTGAAGGTGACACAGATCTCTTGAGACTAGTTAATATCTTTGTATGCTTTCAGGCATTGTGCCGACCATGGGCCTGTATCAGGGCAGACTTTCATTCTTGTTTTTGTTCTGTGTTTTCAGGCAGCCCGCAAGATGAGATCTATCCAGGACACCCTGGGAGAGTCTGGGAGTTTACCTCCCAAGAAACTGAATCAATTGTTACAGAGGTTTCCTAACAAACCTCATGTCAGCTGAAAATGGAGACGCATTTTCAATGACTGGACTATAGTTTCTGAGAACTACGTGGAGGCATTTTAGAGACGTTTGCACTGCATACCCTCTGTGAAGGGTAGTACTAGGCAAAACACTTTTTTTTCACGCTTTGGAATCATGGTCTGTTGGTCATTATGCTTTATCTTGAAATAAAATCCTCTGAAGAGAACTTGGTCTTTTGTTGTTGTTTGGATACCCCCTCCAAACCTTAACCCTACATCTTCCCCTAGATAGACCCTGCAAGTTCTTTGCTTTCTGATTTGCCACAGAAGTAGAACAAAAACTTTTGTTTTGTCTTTTCCTGCATTTGAAGTCCTCTACACCTGTTAGTGCCCTTGTCTTTGGACGCACTAGGGATGTTGAAGTCTGCCTATATCAAAGTTTTTCACCATTATCTGTAACTATTTAGTGACTGCTTGTTTTGTGCAAACCCCCTGCAAGATGCTCCCTGAATAATCAGAAGTTCACAAACTGGTGACCTCAAGGGTCTGCAGATGTGTTTTATTTAGCCCACACAGTTAAAATACTGCATTTTTAAATTAGTTGATCACATTCAGAAATAAAATGTTGTATAAAAAATCCACTTTTTAGCTTTTCTTAAAACAAAAGATCTGGCAACCCCGATTTCTTATTTCTACATGGCAACAATCAGGTAGAGTTGATTATCATTTGTCCCCATTCTCCAGTCACCTTGCCATTCCCTGTACTCTTCCAAATGATGAAACTGAGACTAAGTTGGTGATTATCTTCTGTGGGTATCACCTAGTCCAGTTCTCTCACTTAAGTTATCCTCCTGGTCACTGAAGGCATTTGTGACCTTTGTGACCTTCCCCTCACCCGCCAGCACATAGGATTGCCATGAGTCAGAATTTACTCCCTCCACAGCAACAGGTTTTGTTTTTGTTTTTTCATATTAGGAATTATTATATAGCATTTTATGTACACTCTGCCCTTTCAGGCATATTTGAATTAACCTCTTCTGTGTACTTTACAGCATGAAACATGGCACAAAGGGATGAGGGGTTTTTAATGCTCCAGTGGGATAAAGATTAAAGAAGGGTTCTTGCCTCCTTAACTCCCCACAGCTACCTCTTCTTACAGTCCTCATATCTCATGAGTAGAGCACTGGGCAACTGTCTAGCTCTGTAAGCTGAACCTTTTAGCTACAGGAAGAAGCTTGGTGCTCAGGCACTTTAGACTAAGGAGTTCTTTTTTAAAAAATTATATTTTTGTTGTTGTTGAGAATATACACAGCAAAACATACACCAACTCAACATTTTCTACATGTACAATTCAGTGACACTGATTACATTCTTCGAGTTGTGCAACCATTCTCACCCTCCTTTTCTGAGTTGTTCCTCCCCCATGACTTAGGAGTTCTTAATCTGGGGTCAACAGACTTACAGTAAGAAGTCCATGAACTTGGATAGGAAGAAAATTGTATCTAATCTCAACTGAAATTTAGCATTGCAAATAGGTTGTGGGAAACAAACCAGTCGTATTAGCAATACCTACATGAAATCACAGTATTTTTATATTACAGTTGGCTGCAACTATCTCAAAACATATTTATCACTAGCTTCAAAATTATGATAGTTATTACACTTGCTGCTAGATCTCGTTATTTAATATGTGAATAAAGAAGTACTACTGTGCTATACATCTATTAATATTTTGATAACCATTGCAACATAATTATTTCCTTTGTAATTCTTGTATTTTATTTTGTGCATTTATAATATCAATCTGAGAAGGGGGCCCAGGGGCTTCATCAGACTGCCAAAAGACTCAAAGCCCTCACTGACAAACAGTACAACCATTTTCTGAAACCAAATGCCTCCTTTTTCTGTTGCTTTGCCAATTAGATCCTACAGAAAGGTCTTCTGGAATGCAGGCTTTCTAAACTACAACTCCCAGAAGATGATGCAGCCCCGAGACCTATCGGGAGTTAGGACAATAACTGCATCCAACGGTTCCAGTGTTGTCTCTTGACAGCCTACAATTCCCAGCAAGCATGGCGGCTGCTTATTCCTTGGGAACATGGACGCCGAGTTATTGCTGGGATCTGTAGTTCTTTCGTTTACCTTTGTGGGGCTGGCTTCTTCTTATGGTATGCGAGGGTGGGCTCGAGGGGAAAGAAAGCAGGAAATGCAGCAATTAAACAAACATGTCCCCTACATCCGCCCGTACTAGGTCCGACCACGAAGCGCGCGACGACGGAAGTGGTGAAGGCTGGCGCGGCCGGAAGTTCAGATCAGCTGATGGGGGAGGCGGTGCCGCAGCGGCTGAGGGGCCCCGGCCACCTAGCGCTTCGTCCGGGCCCGGAGTCTCGGAGACTGGCCACGATCCCTGTTCGTACCTCACTGTTGGGCGAGGCCCAGTCCCGTATCTCTCCCAGGCCTGAGATCCTTGCCCGGCACGGCCGCCCTGAGCGCCCCGGCCACCCCCAGCCCCGGCTCGCCCCTCAGGCCCCGGGCCTCCCCTCAGTCCCCGGCCGGCGGCCCAGGCCCCGGATCCGCGGGGGGAGACCCGGCTCCAGGGGGTGCGGGCCCCATGGAGCTGATGTTCGCGGAGTGGGAGGACGGAGAGCGCTTCTCATTCGAGGATTCGGACCGCTTTGAGGAGGATTCACTCTGTTCCTTCATCTCCGAGGCCGAGAGCCTCTGCCAGAACTGGCGGGGATGGCGCAAACAGTCCGCGGGGCCCAATTCCCCCACTGGCGGCGGTGGCGGAGGTGGCAGTGGCGGTACCAGAATGCGAGGTGACGGTGGGGGTGGGAGTGCTCGGGCGTATGGCAGGCCCTCCTCGGGCCTTGCTCAGGAGATGTTCCGGACAGGGAGCTGTCCCGAGTCAGGAGCTGTCCCAAGCTTAGAACGGACTTCAGGACTCGCTTTTCCGGCCTTCCTGGGTGGGCTGGCGTCAGGCAAGGCATTCTGGGGGCCTGGACAGACTCCTTCGCTTCAGTCTTCTCCCCGCCAGCGCGCGGGGCGCGTGTCTGTGTATTTACGTGAATATGTTAGGGGAACGGCAGGGAAGATTAGCAACGGAAAGTAGATTTTTGATTGTTCCTTTGCCTTAGAGCTGGGGTAAGGGCTAAGACTCCTCTGTCTGATTTGGGAATACTTACCGAGTTCAGCCTGAGGCAAGCCAAAAAGTAGAGGAAAAGACAATGTGGGTAGGGGGCAGATTGTCGTCGGAAGTACTGAAAAAGTGACCACACTGAGGTGTCACCCCATTGCAAAGTGCATTGGGAGGTTCTTGCTTCAGGGTGATTATCTCTGATCCCAGCCGCACCAAGAAGGGATCTTATCCAGACAAAGTGGTGGCGAACAAGCCTGTGAGAGGAGATTCTGTAGTACGTAGGTTTAGATCAGAGGCTTCTCTCCTGCTCATAGTGACCATTTGCCAGAATCCAAGGCTGGGACCACTGGATTTTGGAGCCTTAGATTTTCACCATGTGGGGCCTGGGGAAGAGCGAGGGTAATCGTCTCTGGGATCTCCTTATGAAATACTTTTCTTGATTTTCGCTGTGAGTTTCTTTCATCCTTGGGTCTTTCAGTGAATAAACTGATTTAGCGCTATGGAGAATTTTGCTCTTATTGGAGAGGATGAAGGGGAGAGTGATGCTTAAGAGAAGCTTCTTAAGCTCAGGACTCGCCACCTCCATTCCCTGCCTTCCTCATGGCACAGGTTTTGTCTTGGGCCTCAATGGAGGTTGGATTTCTTCAGCTTCCTTCTTTCAGCAGTTGAGGGGTCAGATTTGTGTGATTCTTGTGATACTTGGGCCATTGCAAGAATCCTATTTTCCAAACTGCAGGGGTTTCTGGAGCCCCTTTAGGACAGAGAGAAATTTACAGGTGTCACTTTTTAGGAGTGGTAGTATTCATACTATTCAACTTTAGTTAGAAATGTAGCACGTGCCCTGTGTGTACACACACACGTGCGCACACACAGAGATTATTAGCAGTTTCACTATGGGTCTTCTTATGGCTTCCTTGCATTTTCTTATATTTGCATGTGTGGGTAGCCTTGGGGCTTAGCGCTGCCTCACGCTAAGATTTTCAATGAACTGGCACCTACCTGGACAGGCTACAGTTTGGGAAAGTATGTCATTTTTTCTTTCCCCTGGCCCACCCTCAGCTATTGCTTATTTGTAAAACAAGGTTTGTTTGTTTTAAAGGTTCCATTTAGCTTCATGATGTTCTAATCTGTCTTCTAATCTGACTGGAAATTTGGTGACATGTGCAGTCTATTCTGTTGTCATTGCTTTTTTTTTAAAACAGTGTGGAGAACCTTCTTGAGTGGTAATTCCATCCAACTCGAGATTCTAGCAGCAGCAGCTAGGTTCCCCTGGGATAACCCATCTCCCCACTAGGGCTTCCATTGTGGGAAGTCAGGGTTCAGGTGTACCAAAGGCAGTGCAGCTCTCTTGCTTCTGGAGATCCTTCTCTTAACTCTTCTGGGCTTTGTCCATCTTCCCTCCTTAGATGGTAGTAGCTTAGAGTCATCTAGAGAAAAGGATGCCAGAGGAGGGACATTAACAATGTGATATGAATCTAAACTGTCCGTGGTACATGGGAAAGTAGATGCCAAGCCATTTGAGAGGGGTCGCTTGAGTCCTGGAACACATTTGCTGGCCAGGAGTTTCCTGGGATATCCCTGGTGTCTTCTTTTGTAGACCTTAGGCAGTAGGCTGTGGGCCGGGGATTGTCCAGCTCCCCTTCCTTCCCTAGGTGGAGTCTTTAGGGTTAGTGTATACTTGCAGGAGGGTACCTTGGTTTTTCATCCAGGTCTGTTTTTTGCATAGTGAAGGTGAGGTCCAGGATGTGGCACTGGCACTGATGCCAAGTAATCGTGTCACCTATTCATTTTCCCTTCTCTTTCCCCCCACCCCAACTTTTGTTTCCAAAGATGGACTGGTGATCCCACTGGTAGAGCTGTCAGCAAAACAGGTGGCATTTCACATCCCATTTGAAGTGGTAGAGAAGGTTTACCCCCCAGTGCCTGAGCAGCTACAGCTCCGAATTGCTTTTTGGAGCTTTCCTGAGAATGAAGAGGATATTCGGTGAGATGGAGAGGGTGGAACTAAAGGACCGATGGTGGGGAGTGGGGTCCCAGTATTCACACTGTGCTGGGCTTCCCCCAGAACAAAGGGATACTGTATTTGGG